GTCCCTGACTCTTGTCTGATTTTACTCAACGAAGTGTCAACCGTAGAAGGTTCTGGTCCAAACAGAACGTCTACATGTGACCGGGCCGCTGGCGACAGATGTTACTACCACAACTGTGTGTGTGTGTGTGTACGCGTATGTGTGAGTAAAAACACGTGTGAGTGTGTGGGGCCATCACTGCGACCTTGAGGAGGTCAGGACTTTCAGTTCAGGAGAATGAAGAAGAGGATAAAAGAGGACAGAGAGCTGATGAGGGAAATTACCTCTGTAACAAGGCAGGGGGGGGGGGGGGGGGCAAGAGGAGTCTGTGGGGGAATGTGTGTGTGTGTGTGTATACCTGATACAGCTACACTTTTAGGGACACTTTCTACTAAAAGTACTGTTGGGTGGAGACATGTAATTTGGAGTTGGGGTTATGAACGTATTAATTATGTTGTCTGTGTGTGAAGTCTGTGTGTGAAGTGTGTGTGTGAAGTGTGTGTCTGTGCCGTGTGAAGTCTGTGTGTGAAGTGTGTGTCTGTGCATTTTACAAATGACTGGTGGAACCAACAGTTGAATAATAATAATAACAATAATAATAATAATCCAGATTAAGACACTGTTTTTTGTTCTTTCGTCCCTGGTGCTCCATTTCTCTCTAACTTGAGGCCATTTCTGACTGATGTCTGTTTGACTGACTTTCTACCCCTGATGACTCAGGGGTCTTTTCTGGGTTTTGCACTTTCTTCTGCCCTTCAACATTTGGAGAATATTTGAATTTGTCTTTAATTTTTGTTGCCTGTAACCTAACAGGTTAGCATTCGGCTAGATTATTAACATAATCTGTGTTACCAAAGCCTGACTGGACCAGTGGAGTGAAGCTAAGGTCACATCATCTCATTATTATGTGTCTGAATGAGTGTTGAAAGAGAATTAAAGGTAATTAAAAAAATTCAATGGCATTTCCTCCAGAAATATACATTAAAACATTTGTTTTCTTTTTCACACACACTTACCCATGCACACATCTCTCTCACTCTCTCTCACACACACACAGAGGCTAAGTCGTCACACGCAGACAATCACATCAACATCTTCCACAGTCTCATGCACACACGTTAGCTCGCCCACTTGCTGATTTCACTGAGACATCCACCAGTGTGGCGACAGTAACCGCGACAACAGGCATAAATTAGCGTCATGGCGATATGCAAAGCGAGGGGGGAACAATTAAAGCTTGACTAATGAGCTTCTGAAGAGAGAGAGCGGGAGAGAGAGAGCGACTGAGAGTGAGAGAGACTGAAGTTGAGCAGTTGTCAACTGGATTAGCCTCCAGAAAGACCACAGACCTTCTTGTTGTATTGTCCTAAAGATTTTCATTGACCAAGTGCTAACAGAAAGCGGGACACCTGGTCTGTCCCCCGCTTTGTGCTCCGAATTCTGTGGTTTCTTTTGCCCACCGTAAACTGAAACCTTGTCCCCTGATATCAGAGGTTTTAAAGTCTGTAGATGGTGACATCACCTCGGCCAGTGGCTGTTAGCAGAGCAGCTACAGTACGTACCCATGTTATCTCGGGGATCGACACATGTTCCTCTGCCTGATGACATTAAACAGACATCAAGATGTGGTCGGTTAGCATCAGACCATCAGGTTGTTACTCCAGGTATTCCTACTGTTTCATCTTGACTGACTTTACTGACGTCTACCTCTTCTCTGTTTAACCCCCAGTGGACAGAAGAGGAGTTTACACCTCACCAAGTTGTTCAGATTTTAACCAACACTGTCTTCATCTGTTCCTTCAGACATGGAAACAGTTCTACACAGTTGAATGAACACTTTGTTGGTGGAAATGTCAAACAGTGTAAAAAGCTCTGCTCACTCTCTGTTCAGCTACCTGTGCGAAAGTTCGTGTATTTTTTTATATACATTATTGATATATTGTCAAATGTGGTGACCGTTTGAGAATTTAACTTTTTGATTGAAACATCCATCCACACATCCATCATCATCATCATCATCATCATCATCATCCTCACTGCGGGTTGTGTTGAGCTCACAAACACATCAACATGCCTCCCAGTTCATTGCTTATTTATAAAAAAAACTTTACCAAAACAAGTATTAATCTTGGTACTTGCTATCGGCAAGAATACGAATGAAAATACCTGCAGTCATGTTGGTTCGTCAGGATGAGCCACTGGTCAAGAATTATATATGATATATAATAACATAATAACGATAATGATACCAAAGATTTAGAAATGTTCTAAACCAGAAGAAACTGTGAATGACACGATCAGATCACCAGGAACAGTAGTGGCCCATGATTGGCCAAATTTATAAAAACAAAAAACAAAACAGATAACCAGACAAAGTTGTCACAAACACAAACAGGACCTTGACGTTATAATCTGAGCCCTGACAATAAAGACCAGATGATGGGGAAAGGGGAGAGCCTGAGCGTCCCTGCTCATTAATTACCCTCAGAAGAAAAAAAAAAAAAAAAGAAAAAAAAAACACAAAGCGTGAAATAATGAAAGGTGTTGTGTAAACACAGCTCACATTCTAACCAGGTGGCTAACAGCCTTTTGATGAAATATTACTCAACCGTGACATCTCTGTGACAGGACACACAAGCAAAGCAGTGACGAAGCCGTTACCAGCCATAAACTCAGGCAGTGATACTGTCACAGAGCAGCAGTCGTGATATAATAAACACATATGCTCATGCTATTAGCAGTGTTCTCTACAGACACAGGAAGTATATGTGTATGTTGGTGTTTTTGACCTATCAGAACTAATAGACAGTAATTCATCAGTCAATCACAGCATGTTTACCAAAAAGAAAGGAAGTATATGATCATGTGATCATGTGGTCCGATGTATGAAACTGTATGAAATGTACTTCACTGACCAGACGACTGCACTGAAAGAAGTCAAAATGTCTGTAGTTTCTGGTGAGTCATCTTCTTCCTGTGAACACTGATGTGGAAATCATATCTAGTGGGAACTGAAAACCTGTCTGACCATAAAACCAAGAGAGAATTAATTTGTTAGTCCTGACATTGTTGTTTTTATTTATCTCTTCACTTTGTTTTGTTTTGACCCCCTCCCACCCTACAGTCAACCCTGCCTTGAGTTTTTGTCTTTCTTTTATAAGTCATTCTATTTTCTTTTTCTCCTCCCAGAACATCCGTCTCCCGTTGCTCTTCCCCGTCTGCAGTACTCCTCTGCTCACTCAGATAAATCCATCCTCCCTCCTCCTTCTATTGCTCCACATCCCACCGCCCCTTAAATCTATGAAACGCACACACACATGAACATACATGTGCAAGGACAGAGGCTCGCTCGCACACACACACACACACACACACACACAGCCCTCCAGGCAGGAGCCACAAAGGCCCCATATTAATAAATCTGCTCCTTTATTGGTGCTGAGTGTCTCTGGCTCACAGAGGGGGAGAGGGAGAGAGAGAGAGAGACAAGTGGAGAGAGAGAGAGAGAGAGAGCGATGGAGGAGGAAAAGCAGGACGGGAGCTAGAGAGATCACCAGAAAGAAGGTAGAGAAGAAGAAGAAGAAGGGAGGGAGGTGAGGGGGGGAGGTGAGGGAGGAGGAGATGATGGACTGTAGTCATATCATGAACATAAGGGAGGCAGGGTGAGGGTGAGAGAGAAAGATAAAGAGAGAAGAAGACAACATTGACAAGTACACACTCAACACACACTTGTGCTCTACTACACACACAGGCGCGCGCGCGCACACACACACGTAATTTATTGGCGATAGTACAATGGCCCTGAGCTAATGAGCAGAACCCAGAGAAGAAACACACGAGTGTGAGTTTCACTTCAGAGTGTGTGTGTGTGTGTGTTTGTTTGTTTGTTGTCCACCCACACCTCCTTTACCTCCTCCGTCCAGTGCATTATTAAGGACACCTGACACCTGCCTGAACCTCCGCAGCGTTCTCCCCCTCCCTGCCTCCGTCTCTCCCTCCCTCCCTCCCTTGCTCGCTCGCTCGCTCGCTGCCTGGGCTCAGGAAACAAACAGCCAGGGGTGGGCTCTGGGTAATGACAGCAGCTAGCTTGGCTTAGCGCTCCAATCTCAGCCATCAGTCAGCTGTGACAGATTGGGGATATGAGCAAAGGAGCCGTTTAGCTTTGGTGTTTGGTGTAGTGTGTGTGTGTGTGTGTGTGTGTGAGAGTATCGGTGTGCTCCAGGGAGGAGGGGGAGGAGAGGGAAGAGGAGGAGGAGTCGGGGGGGTTAGCGAGGGCTATCAGTGTTGCAGTTGTAGTGTTGCAGAGGCATCAATTCCTTCTTGACAGGCCATTTTCCAACTCCTTCTTAGCCCTGGTTTGTTGCTGAGGCAACTACCGCCATTTTACCTTCTCCACTTTCACCTCTGGAGGATTTTTAACAAAAACAACAATTCAGACTCTTCCCTCAGTCAAGTTTCAGTGATGTGTGAAAAGACCCCGCAGCGTTCTCCTGAAGGGAGAACTCTTGAAAGAAGTTCCTCTTAGATCTGGATGCAGCGTAAAATCAAATGTGACACGGTGTCTATTTATAGAAACTGAGGTTGAACTACAACTACAACAACAACATTACATGTGACACACTTCAAATGAACCATTAGTCTTCAACAACGTTCACCAGGAAACAACACCAGTGTGTTTTTTTTTATTGCCAAGGTTAAAAGGTTGAGTGTTCTAACACAACAGCTGACCTTTAACCTTTTAGCTGAGGTTTGACCTTGGAAATAATCCCTGACAAAAATCCACAAGTGTTCAGTGTTCATTACACTTGAACTGTACCAGCTGAACGACATTCACACCGACACCAACACCAACACCAACACCACAATGACAGCTTCAGAGTGACCTTTGACACCTTCTCTTACCTGTCCGTGAGGCTGCATGGCGCTGTAGGGTATGTTCTGGTTCAACACCTTCTGCTTCATCAGCAACATCCTCTTCTGCTCCTCGCTCAGGTGGGCCGTCTGTCCGGGGATCGGGCCCTGAGTCTGACCTGGTCCCGTCACCTGACCTCCGCCTCCTCCTCCGCCACCCCCCATGTAGGGAGGCATCATGGGATTCTTGACCTGATTGTTTCCTGCCATGGGCGGAGTCATCCTCTGGCCTATGTGATCCACTGGGCCACTGCCGCTGAAGTGGCTCAGTGGTTTGGTGTTGTTGTAGGACAACATGGCGGCAGTTTGCTGCTGCTGTTTGGACAGAGAGCTCTGGTTCATGCTGTTTGACTGCTGCTGTCCCATCATGCCCATGTGGTTGTGAGGGAGGTAGTTGCTCATGGGGGCTTTGGGCCCATTGTTGGGGGCCATTCCAGCCACTAGAGGGCCCTGTGGTGTGTTAAAGGCTTGCGGTGGGTACATCATAGGGCTGTTGGGTTTGTCTTGGTTAAAGGGACCAGAGTTGTATGGACTAGTGGGAGCGCCTGCAGGGGACCAGTTGGCTGCTTGTTGCTGCTGCTGCTGCTTCTGCTGCAGCAGTTTTGCTCGTTGCTGAGCCATTGCCTTCAGCTGCTCTGCTGGAGAAAGTTCTGGCGTCACTGCTCCCACAGACTGACCTCCAGGGGCAACACCGGCCGCCCCCGTTCCGGTTCCTGACTGACCGACCCCTGGTCCAGGGTTCATCATGTATCCATTCCCAGGCCTGGAGACTGTTTGTGTCTGGGCCTGGGTCGGCGTCTGAGGGGAACGGGCCACACAGTTGTGTAACGGTGAACCTGATGCCATGGCCACGGCTGGAGACTGCTGCAGAGGCTGCTGTGGAGGAGTTCCATTGGCAGTGGTGGCAAACTGTGGTCCAGAAGACGATGGTCGAACCTGCGGAAAGTCAGAACACGTCATTTCGCTCTTTTGTCAGACGTGTAGACACTTGTTGAATGGATAAGGGCGTGCTAGTCTGAAACATCTAAAAGTGCCACTTGTTGGACTATAAATAAGTAAAACGCACATTTAAAAAAATTAAATGACTTCGAAAAGAGAAAAGAAGTGTTAGATGGCATCACATTTAAACTTGGCTAAAACAAATAGCTGCGCGAATGATAAAAAACATTTGTCACTAAAAAAAAGTTAAACTTAATTATTAATATTTGAAAGTCAGAAAAAAAATAAGAATAATAAACAAAACAAATAAATACATACATTGCTGAATAAATATATGTAGGTTTCCAAAAGAAAAACCATAGTTAGTCATAACAACAATGAAATAGTAAAAAGAAAATCAATATGAAAAATAATCAAATAAATAAAATAATAAACAAATAGTTTAACAAATTAAAAAAAAAACTTAGCAAAACACCAGATGGAGCCATGGGTTTGCCAATTTAGTTTAGAAAAAGGCTCAAAGTGAGCAAAATATAAAAGGAGCCAAAGGATAATTTGAACAATTGAAGCTAAATTAGCAACTCGTTGTTACACAATGATGTAAGGGAATTCTCAGGATAATCATCAACTGTTTTCAGACTTCAATAAAGTGGTGATGAATCAGTGGTGAGTTACGCTGACCACAGGAGCTTACAGCCACCAAAAAAAAAAACTGTTCACGAGCTGTGGTTAGCCCTCGAGCCAGAAGTTGAAAAGCCCTGACAGAATGGGAGGAACTAAACCTAAATTCACTCTGCAAGAGAAAAGAGGTGGGAACATTCAAGAATATTCTAATCAACACCTCTGCAGTGTTTTAATTAGCACAGTGTTAAAGTTTTGGAGCCTTAGTGTCAGTGCAGAGACCTGAAGATGATGAGGACCAAAAACCAAAGAGTGGAAACAAGTTCAACCATCTAAGAGTTCCTGGGATACACGGAGAAATCACAGTGTCGCTGTCACATTAACAGTCATATTTTTAACTGGGTTCATATAAGACTTTGTTTCCACTTCAACCTGAGCCAAGAATGTGGACTAAACATAACTCTTCTTTACATCCATTAAGTTTTAAGGGAACATACTAATACTGAAAATAAACCAGCGTTAGAAGTAGACGAGAAGAGGTTTGATTTCCAGTACTGACCTGTGGAGAGCCAATTGGCACCTGTGGACCTCCCTGCGGAGGCTGAGGAGGTGGAGGAGGCAGGGCTGCTGTTGACGGTGCTCCTCCTCCTCCTCCGGGTGTCGTGGTATTCCCGGCTGCTTCCTGTGGACCCGGCGTCTGATTGTTTGCCGGTCTGCTGAACTCCGTCTCCTTCTTGTCCTCAAAGTCCTCGTTGAAGAGGTCGTGCATATCGTCCTCCGGCACCGTGTTGGCAAGCTCGTCGATCAGCTCCTGCCACTCCTGGTCATTGAGGTTGATGTCAGAGAAAAGTTTGTTCTGATTGGACAGGGATTGGGGATCAGATGACTCCATCCCACCGCCATCATCCAGAGGCTCCTGTTTCAGGTCTTTAAGGATGCTGAAGGTGTCCTCCAGGTCGAGTGAGCCGTTCAGCTTCATGTCTGGAAGATGGCTACCACCGTTCTTCCCGAGCTCGTCTGAAGCTCGGCTCACATGGTTGCCGTTGCCGTTGGTAGTGTTGTTACCGGTAGAAGTGTTGGGCCCGCCCAGTAAAGGCTTAATGTCCATTTGATGATGCAGAGGAGAGATGGGCGGAACACTGTTACTGGTGTTGTTGGAGAGACCTGTTAGTGAGTCCAAACCAACCGAGCCTTCCTTTCGTACCCGTTTGGTGGTGGGCGAGTAGCTGCCTCCATCACAGAGGCCGTTCTGCTCTCCATTCAGAGGCGATCGTGCGCTGTCTAGTTTCCTCTTTACTGTCTCCTGAAGCTGAAACCAAGAAAAAAAAATCAAAGTTAGAAAAAATTAGGATTAAGAAAACTTTTCCAAGATCCTCAGGGTGAAAACAACAGAAACAACACAAGATACCGATCAATAAGCCGACAGGCTGCTTCCTCTCCACGTGACTGTCTGAGTGGACGAGAGGTGAGCTGACATCCAAATACAACCAAAACAAATCCATTCTTTCTTCATCAGTTTGTCGCCATCTACATGTTCTGTATCTGACCAGATGCAGACATGAAGGGACGAGACATGAGAAGTCCAACAGGACGGAGAGCTGAGGAGCCGTCCTGCTGAGACAGACTCAGGGTGCGATCTTTCCTTCACCAGGAGCCTCAACCAATGGGCAGAAGAAACGTCTGGTGTAACTCTGACACCACAATCTGTCCACAGCCTAAACATCTCTGCTCCTGTCTTGGCACAGACCACGTAACAACAGGGTGCTAGTGCAAACAGGCTGCTACTTACTGTAATCACTATCATAGAGCTGCATAGAAGAAGCAAACACAAACGGCAATATATGACATGGAAAAAGATATTTTATTTTTAAAAAAGAAGAGAAAAAGAAATGATGGGAAGGAAAAAACACTGGGTTTGTAGGAAATGCAGGTTGGAAATGTATCAGGAGTAAAGTGAGGCTGTCAGAATTCACAACAACAACAACAACAACAACTGGGAAGTTCCGTGAAATGAATCAGATTAAAATGTCAACATTTAAACACGTGGGCTTCAACCTCAGGGTAGCGGCCCTGCTTGTGTCAAAGCAGCCTGACTCAGATCGGGACAGTCAGTGAGTTTATGACTGGACAAACTAAAACACTGGAGGTCTGTCTGAAACTTGGTAATCCTAATTTTACCACTCGGGCTAATTTAAAACTGTAATGAAGTCAAGATAAGAAATAGTTTCTGCCATTAAAATGACAGACAAAAAAAAAGTCAACCCCCCCCCCCAAAAAAAAACAAACAATACCTGGCTATTAATTAATCAATTAATTAATTTTCTTCTTCGCTGTTTTGTTATGAATCATGAGCGTGTTATTAAAATCTGATATAAAAGCACACATTTACTCATTGTACATGACACATTGTACACACACTGTAGAACTTAATCATTTCATGCCAAAACGTGCGTGCGACTTAATTAAAGATAAATATAATAAAACAGCACAAAGACAACGCACTTCTTTCTGTTGAACTCTTTTTCACGCTCAAATTCCCACAATCCAACCCTGTGTGGTGTGTACAGAAAAGATCCATGTTTCAAACAGCACGGTGTGACTGAGAAACTGATTTTTACGGCTGGGGAAGTCTCACACACACACACACACACACACACAAATGCTGATGCATTTTCTGTTTGTGAAAACAGGACAAAGTTGCTTCAGACTCTGAGGTTCTGATGTTCTTCTGAGAGAATGTGAGAAAGACGTGAACGACGTGCACAAAACTTAGATTTAGTTTATATATTTTTCTTTAAAAAAAACATGAATAGAAAAATGTACAACATTCGTACAGTAATAAAGGTGAATGAGGTCGACTTGACAGGAGTGTTTCCCAACCCTGGTAAAAATTCAGCCCCAAACTGTCACGGAGCCAAGCATCAGTGGGACTCACAAAATGATGTATTAACTTTTAAAAATGTTTGTGTTAATTAAGAGATTTGTCATCAGTGTTTTTATAAACTCTGTGTCTATTCTAATACATCTGTTAGAAGATGAAGCTCTCCTCTTCTGCTGGAATGTCGTTAGATTCATGATCAACATCAGCTAAATGACAAAAAGAGCAGGGACGGAGAGGAATCATCTGTCTGTGACGCACTGACAACTCAAAGTGTAGTAGTATTTCATAATTCAGTTTTTATTTTCCTAAATACATAAACATGTGTCCTGATATGTTTAGACTGGACTTCAAACAAAACACAGGCCTCGGTACAAAGTCAACAAAGGCATCTGCTGTTCCACCAGCATAACCAACAGATGACAGTGACATCACAGGGTCACATGATCAGTCACTACAGGACCTGTGTGTTAGTCTCACTGCAAGAACTCCTCGGTCTTCACTCACACAGATCCATTCATTCTCAATAGATTTTCAGAGTTGGGTGGTTGACCTGGTCAGGGTCAAGGTCAAGGTCAGGGTCAGGGTCAGGGTCAAGGTCAGAGATCTAGTTCTTTTCAAAGTCCTGTTTCTGAAAAAACAGGTTTTTGGTGAGGTGGTGTTACGTCTGAAAACATTTAACATTTTTATATATATGTGTGTGTGTGTGTGTGTGTGTGTGGTCCTGCAATTTAAATAATTCAGCTCTACTGTATGCAGGCGTTTTTCTTTTCATGTATGCGCATGCCTGTGTGTGCCTGAGTGTGTGTGTGTGTGTGTGTGTGTGTGTGTTACAGGCTTTCCCTAAATGCCAGTGACTCATGTTGATAATAACAGACTCGCCTTTCAAAGCCCACCTATAAAAACTCCCATAATTATCCAGGTGGTGTGAACTGCAGCACACTCCCACACATGCACAACGTGTGTGTGTGTGTGTGTGCGCGCACACTTATGAAAAATCATTAGCAGTTTAACCTCTGATAGAATCCTGAACACAGACAGGAGACAGAAACCAAAGGAGAAAAGAAAGAATCTGCCAACAGAGCAGCGGTAACAAAGCCGCGGCCTGTGGCCCCGCTGTCTGCTCACAACTGTGTGAGTCTGTGTGAGTGTCTGTGTGAGTCTACTGACTCTGTGTGTGTCCGCGTGAGTGTGTGTGAGTCACAGCCTCGGGCGACGTGACACAATGAATGACAACAGAAAGTGCGCCTCCAACAAAATGCATTTGTGTTAACTACAACTAATTGGTCTTTTGTTCCTTGCAGCACAACCACCAACCTAATTACACCTGTGAATTACAGTAATATACCTGTCAGCCAGTGGAAAAACAAAGCCCACAATATTTTCATTTGTTTGACGATCACCCTACTAAAGGGCTTTGAAGTGATCGGAAATGAGAGGAAGGAGCCTTTGTGAGGGAAGGACTCGGAGAGGCAGAGTCGGAGACAAAGAACTGTGAAGGAGTTTTATGTGGCGTGTGGAGAGCGGAGGAGAAAAAAAGGAGCATCGGAGAAAAGAGGGGATGAGAGGATGTAAAAGGCACAGACAAAGAGACGACTGCTCGTTTCCTTTCCTCGACTCTTCCTCTGTGTGTACTTTCTGACACAAACACCTGCTGACTGCTCCTCTGTCTGCTCCCACCTCAGAGAGGGAGAAATTACACAGGGGGGAGAGAGAGAGAGGGGGGGGGAGACAAAGGGAAAAAAAAGAGGGGG